ATGTAATTTTAAATTAAATCAGCTCATGGAAATGTTGTACTGTCCTGTTTTCTTTTTGGGTCCTCTGGCCAAGTCTGTTAGGTTAGGAGAGACACTTTCAATTGACGTTTTTCATTACATTTTTAAACTTTAGGATAATTTCCTGCCCTCCTAACCTACCAGAGGACCCTTAACCCTTAAACTGCGCAACGCGCCTGCAGGCTCACGTCTGGTTTGCGCAACGCGCCTCCGGGTATTTGTATTTTTCACGTTCCATTCAAAACTCCCGCGGCTACATGGGGTTCACATCAGCTTCCTCAGGGCTCTTGTAAACAGACGCCATCTTTAAAAAAAATCGTGGTCCACATTCCCGGGTGTGGGAGCCTCAGTAGTGTGTGAGCAACCAAGGCTGGTGCTCGCAGCATGAGCGCACAGCACTGCTGTTCAGCATGTGACCACAGCATCGCCTAATAATGTCAAAATATATATATAACTTGTATTATTTAGCTATGATAGTGTTATATTAGAGCCTGAGTGTGATAATGACTGGGTACAATGTTCAAATATCAGTGATTCAATGCTGTTCACGATGTTCACAGCGCTAGCCACAGCACCACAGCATTATTTCGTTCATCTAGGAATCTTCAAATGATTTTTTAGGTTCGTTTTCAAAATAAACGTGTGGTCAATTATTCATTTACAGGAATTAGTGACCAGGATTGTGATAATAGCAGGAATGTGGTTATAATTAGCGTTGTGCGTAGTATTGTGGAAGGAGGAATTTTGATGAGGGAGGGAGGGCGAGAATTGAGGTAGCCTCATTGTGTGTGTGGCTGCCACTCTTGTTTTGCTCACCATACTAGCTTAGTGGTTCGCTATGGGCAACACATATGTACATGGGTATATATAGTGTGTGTATATAGTGTAAGAACAGCAACAGAAGAATGTTGAGAGGAGCTATTTTGGTGAGGGAGGTGACGTAATCGTAGCGTCGTCTGCTGTGTGATTTTTCATGCAGTGTATGGTGGTCACTGTACTGTTTGGACACAATACTGGCTTACTTGCATAGTTCTGGTAAATAAAACATGTAGATAGGTATATAGAACATGTGTAATAAGAACTATAACAATATGGTGGGAGGAGCAATGTTGGCGAGTAAGATGTTGGAGTGAGGGAGACAGGCTGGGTGTGGCTGCTCTCACTCGAGGTGTTCTGAATGTGTTCATGGCCAAATGCTCCTATTGGCCCATACGAGGCAGCTGCTATTGGCCCATACGAGGCAGCTGCTATTGGCCCATACGAGGCAGCTGCTGTTGGCCCATACGAGGCAGCTGCTGTTGGCCCATACGAGGCAGCTGCTGTTGGCCCATACGAGGCAGCTGCTGTTGGCCCATACGAGGCAGCTGCTGTTGGCCCATATGAGGCAGCTGCTGTTGGCTCATACGAGGCAGCTGCTGTTGGCCCATACGAGGCAGCTGCTGTTGGCCCATACGAGGCAGCTGCTATTGGCCCATACGAGACAGCTGCTATTGGCCCATACGAGACAGCTGCTATTGGCCCATACGAGGCAGCTGCTATTGGCCCATACGAGGCAGCTGCTATTGGCCCATACGAGGTAGCTGCTATTGGCCCATACGAGGCAGCTGCTATTGGCCCATACGAGGCAGCTGCTATTGGCCCATACGAGGCAGCTGCTATTGGCCCATACGAAGCAGCTGCTACACGGTGTTCTGAATGTGTTGATAGTGAATGTATATAGTGTGTGACAGTGTATAGTGTGTAAATAGATTGTATATATACACAAATTAGCATGATACATAGTAAATATGTGCTGCATATGTGTACACAAGTTTCATGCACGTAACACAGTGTCTACGGACAGTACGGATGTTGTACTGCGATATTATAGTGTACGTGTTCATTATACATTGGATTGGCACATAAAAACAATGAAAATGTATTTGGAAAGGTGCGCAAAAAATGAACGAAAATATATTCGCGGCAACTCGCGCGCCCCGCCCCGAGCGCCCCACCGCCCCCGAGAGCTCACGGCACGGGCGCACGGGGAATGATGACGTCACGCCCCAACTTCCGGACCCCATAGCAGCCAAAGTAAGTACAATTTCGACTTTTTTTTTACATACCCATACTGAGGGAAGGGTTTTTGACACTTTAAAAAGAAAAAAGAATTTTTTCCAGAGAATTTATTTCCTGCGCACTGCGGGGGTGTCACATTTGGAGGCAACGCAGTTAAGGGGTTAACTTACTGTTTTGAAAAAATAAATCCAAAATTTATTTTAAAAAATTTTCATTTTCAAATTCTATTTTCAGCCCTATGGGCAAACCTCCAAATTCAGACGTAATTTGTAAGAGGACAGGTTGACTAGTCAGCATCCAACTTTGTTCATTTGTTTTTATTAATCTGTTTTCTTTGAGCCTCTTAAGGCATGATTAGGAGTATGCCCTGTGGAGCTATTGAGGGCCAGATCAGAAATTAAGCATAGAATGGAATAAAATGCTCCTTTTGTTTTTTTGGTACACAAGAGTATAGGAACGGATGACTACTTATTCCTGTTAGCGGCCCTAGAGCTTTCCCTTCCCATAGATCATGGTAACCTTTACTCACTAGTTTTCCCTGGAACATGACCTGCCAGTCAGTTAACAATCAGGTACCCGATTACTGCTGGGTGAACAGAGGCAAACGGTTAAGGATTGACGCCCAGACAGTCTTATGTGGCCAGGACTTGAACTTAGACACATTGCTGCAGGGAGTGTGTGTTATCACGGTGCTACTATGGTGGTTTCAGTAGCTCCCCCCATATCTGCTCTTCTTTGTCATTGTTCCCTATGGGGATCAGAGGTAGTGTATATTGGAGGTGGCACATGAGTATGGCAAGGAGGCAGGTTGAATCCTTGGGTGACTTGAGCTACCATCTGGTGGTGGTGCACTTGGATACTAGATTATAGTTTGTTGATCCAAGGCAAATTGCTGCTATTTTTTTTTTAAGTTACTTTCTGTTTAGTTTTATTTTGTTTTGAAGTTCACTTCAGATCTACATGATTTGCTTGCCTCTATGAGCACACCAGATTCTTGTTCAGTTATTTGATAACTCTATGCAAGTTCATAAACCTGGTAGTTTTGTTGATGCCTCATTAGTACAAGAGTCAATGTGCTACTCAGGCTGCCCAGTAAAGAAAATTTCACCCATGCTAAATAGTTTATCTTTGTCCACCCTGTCAATTCCCCTGAGAATTTTGTGGATGGTTATCATGTCTCCCCACCAAATCCCTTGCCACCCAGCTATAAGGAATCCACCAAAAACGGGCTCTTGATTACATTCATTGCTGGCTTCTATTAATTACGCTCTGTGGTGGCATACTCTTACTCTTGCAGTGTGTTGCCAAGTCTGAAAATTTGTTGGCTTTCTACTTTTTTTTTTCACCATTCTGCCTGCTGGAATTTATATTGTTTCTATCGCAGAGTCTGTGATGTATGTCGTCATAGACTTCTGTGTTGTCCGAGTCCCATTCACAAAATGGGCTGTTCTGGTTTTGTCTGTTGCCTATGTCTGGTTCAGATGCCTTAAGGAGCAGGTGGAGAGACATGTTATGGGAATGTGTACTAAGTGTGTCCCCTTTCCTTTCTTGGTGCTCCTTTGAAAAAAGAAACGAGGTGCACTGGTATTGTGCACTTGGCTCCACTTTTCCCCTCCCATGTAGAGGGCTATGAATTATGCTAGGTCTTTGGGTCCCCCCTCTTTTATTGAGGCAAGGTGTGCCGTGGGCCACTGTGGGGGTTTGCCGTAACTTTCCCTCGTGTTGTTTAAGGGTAGTGAATTTGATCAGTGCAACGATGTATGGGGTAGTGTTTTGAGGCCACTGATGGCCAATGCTGCCATCTTGCAGTCTGCGTAGATGATGGACCAGTGGCTTAACCCAGGTAATGATTGTTGCATAGTTAGGGGCAGCATTGCAAATGTTTACATACATTTATTTGTACTGGAGCATTCTACCTTTCTGTAGTTTTTTATTATAAACCAGTGATCCTTATCAGCACACTCTCCTGCCTTTATTGAGAAGGCCGTATCCTGGTCCTGGGGCCAGATTCAAGAAGCAGTTAGGCAAGCACTTACGAACGTGAACATCTTTCCTCAATCTTTGACGGCTTTGGTTACATTTATTAAACAGTTTACAAGCACGAAAACTTCCCAATCAACTGTTGTTATTGTTATAAACAGCCTCCTGGTGCTTCGGAGCTCATTAACTGTTTAATAATTGTAAACAAAGCTGCCAAAGATTGAGAAAAGATGTACAGGTTCGCAAGTACTTGCGTAACTGCTTCATGAATCTGGCCCCTGGTCTCTGGTAGGGTCTTGTGATTAGACATTACTTGGTGCTTGAGGCTTGATGAAGTATGTTTGCTAGTGAGGTGGGCAGCTTGGGAAACTGGCAAGGGATCCACCAAAAACAGGCCCCTAATAACATTCATTGCTGGCTTTTTGTTGCTCATACAAGAAGCCAGCAAAATTAACTTCTACTCAAAATTAATTTCTACTGGATACATCATTAGGTAATTGATCAAATGAATCAACAAGTAACTGCTACAAGTTATTGGCAGTTCTTAACAAATAAATCTGTCCTAACTCTTAGCCATTGTCTCTCTTTTGACAATAAAAAAATATAGCACCAAAGCATTACTGTTACTGTGTTATTTATTATGCTGTGATGGGTTATATGTTGTGATGGGTTATATGCTATGTTAGATTGTGCAGAAGACTTGTTTAACATACTGGTATATTGGATGAGAGGGATAAAATTTATGTAAGATCATGAGTGACATGATTATGTTTAAAGGGTGATTGTTTAGCCATTTAAATGTTTATAGTTCTATATTAAAGTTTATTGAGCCATTTAGTGTTAGTGTTTGAAATCAATCGATGAGAATAATTTGTATTTAATTTTTCTTGTATAATGTACCTGATCATAGTTTTACTTACTAGCTCATCTATTCCCAAATAAAGGAATGTAAACACAGTTCGCGCCATCGCGAGGGAGCATGGTGATGTTGTTGACCGGTACACCTTAATGGCTCGGTCGGCCACCAGGGGAGCATTCGTGTCACATGATGCTACATTCAGACAGAAGATGCAAGGATGGGTGGAACAGTTGTACTTCGATTATTCTCTCAAGTAAGTGAAAGTCAGTAATGCATGTATAGAGGATCCTTGGTCTTATGGACTTCTGCATTGCCTGAACAGTTTGTGTTCAGCCCAGAGTGTTCATTGGATCATTGGAGCAGGCCGGCATCAGCTGGCCTGCTCCACCACTTGGTGAGAAGGTTCTTTATAATCATTTTAGATTCTTGGGTCCAATAACAATTGCATGTATATAATTTTGACAAAATTGTTTTCTCGAGTGCTTTCAAATATATGATCAAAATGAAGAATATACATAATAAATTAATTAAATTTTATATTGAGATCTTGATCATCTTTAGTGTGCACTGCTAGTAATTGTCATATACTGTAGTTATAATTTTACATGGAATTGTTTGTCAAAGATTACTCTAACCTATGTGACGATCAGAAGGAATGATGTATAATAAATAAAAATTGAATTGTTATACTGTACAGTACAGTACTGAGACTATCAGCTGATATTTGGTGAGCAAATCTTGGTTATGTTATATGTGCACCACAAATAATTGTCATAGTCGATGTCATTGTTTTTTATTTGGGAGTGGCATTTAGTACTACTGAGTTTCTCACTAATTTTGAACATTTCCCTTGTTCCTTTTGAATCATTTGCAGAGTTATTTGGAAGTTTCACAGTTTAGGTCTTTGTTTTCTCCCCAATGGTCTGTAAAAGCTTCTGACTTTCTGCATGCTTTCCCAGTGTGGTGCTGAATTGTCCCTCACTGTGTGTGCCTCTGTGAGGGTAGGGCCTGGGTTTTGGCTTTGGTCCCCCCAGTAGGCTAAACAGAACCCCCACATGTGATGTCATGACCCATTTGCATGGAAGAATCTCTGTGGGATAGCTTCAGGGAGTCACCAGGACTCATCCAGAAAGAGGTTTTTCATTACATTCAGTGCTGGGTTTTTAAATTTAGAGTTGGAGAAAGGTGGGCTATGATGGGTTTGTGCTTACATCAATATGCTTCAAGGTTATTTTGAAGATTTTTCATTGCACTACTCTCCTGATAGGGTAAATAACAAACTTGCATATGCATTGCAGTTTGAACAAAATCCCCATGTAGGAAAATAGGCTTCTACCCGTATACTTTTGTTCAAGCGAAGTGTGAAGGCTACAAATTAACAAACATGGTGCCTGATCTTGCCCATACCATTTAGCCATGCTTTTCTAGAAATTCTGTAAGCGACAGATTAAACAAGGCTAGGTTTCTTTTGGTTAGATCATGTTTGGTCACTATAGTAATTTTCATTCAGAACAAGTTGGAGAAAAATTTACTTCTACTGGACATATTATTAGTTCATGGCTCAAATGAATACAGATAAAATTAATTGTAAAATGGAAATTGCACACTAATGTAATATAAAAATTGTTTAAAAGGATGGTGCGAGGGAAATATGGACTGTTGATTGTGTGAGCGGGAAGGAATACGAGAAAATTATAAATTATGGTTGTTGCTAGAAATAAGTAATGTTGCAGTGGAAGGAGTATTGGGAAAAACAAAAAGTTGAATTAGGAAACAGAGGCAGTCTAATAGGGACAGCACAGGATGGGTAAAACAAACAATTGAATTTGATATTAACAATGGGGGGAAAAAAAATGAAGTATAAAATATTGAATGGTGTTTGAGGCTGTGGTTGAGGTTTTACCATAGTGGTTGTCAGATTTAGGAAGGGAAGAAGATACAGTATAAACTTGTAAAATATTATTTTATTCATACAGGAAAGAAGTTTTAAGGATGTGGATGATGAAGAAAATCCTGTATATACTGTATCTCTTTGGTCGTGGTCCAAGCATGTCTCAAATTTCTGAAGTCATGGCAGGGTGAAAGACCTACAGCTGTCTTCATAACTGTCTTCAGGGTTTTTAACAATGGTCCAAACTCACAAGTAAGAAATTATGTGGTATCTCATTGATGTTCTTTTATAAAGAACAAATTTGGTTTTATTTTGTTAAGTGATGCCATTTTATGTAAATTTGGCTTTAATACATTTATCGGCTAGTGTAACTGTGCCCAGAACATTTAACAAATGTACAGTTGTAATGATGAACACATGTAATGTAACATACATCATTGTTGCAAGATGTATTACTTAAGAATGGCTACGTAACACATACAGTATTTGTATTTCTTGGATAATTTATGATTTCCTAAATTTTGTCTTCTCATCCTTCTGTTAGACAAATTTCTTTAAAACTTAGATTTCTTAAAGGCATTCTCCCTTTCTCAGAAAAATAGCTCTGATCCTATTTCTTAGCAGTTTTACTGAAACATGATTTGTCCAACTTCACTAAAGCTTTTATATCCAAAGATTGTTTCTCTAGATTATATTCATATGCTCACTAAAGTTATAAACTGAAATAAGCGAGATATTGTGTGTTGGATGGTACCTGTACAGCTAGATACAAATTTAGCTGTAAAATTATTATATATATATATATAAACCGGAAAGTGGATGAATGTTGAAAGTGATAAAGTCAAGTGTTAAGGATCTTCAACAGTCCTTAACTTGTCTCAGGACTGGCATGTGTTCATCAGTAGCATTTTTACTGTTACTATTTTGCAAGAGTAAATCAAATTGAACATATGTTTTTGCTTCTTCCTATTGTAAAAGGCATATTAATATTGCAAGCAACTAGGAGATTGGTTTGGTTAGGTTACATGCAGCCAAAGAACAGTTGTATATGGTTAACCTGCAGGCAATATTTGGGAGAACTGAGACTGCCTTTTTTTTATTTTCTTGATAATATTTCCATTCACATCAGATGAGGCAACTTTGAAAAGAGGAAACAATATAAAAATATAAATGTCACGACTGGATTTCCACTTGTTTATTGTCAAGTAACACTCACCATACACAGTTGCACACGTGGGTATAGTACCTCCTTCAGAAATCCAAAGAAATCACGCAGCACTAGAAAGTTGTAGCTATGAAAAAGTAAGTAGAAAAATATTTCGCTAGAGATGACAACAAAAGGTACTCTCTCTTGCAACATTATTACAAATAACATTTTGATTAAACTACAACATGATTGTTATACATTCCGAACACATAGTTTGCACAGCAAGGGGTAATTTGTTCCTTTCTACAGTAGTTAATGTTGCTAACCTTACACTGCTTAATTATATAGATTTTTTTATTTGCCAGTAACTGGCTTTTTTTATTTGGTGTTTAATTATTAGTTAAACCTGGAATTTTTAAATTAGATAAACATCCAAAAATTGAATTTGTTTGTGCACAAAATATGCCCAAACTATTTTAGCAGTGCTGGCACAACCTACTGCATACAGCTGGTGACAGATGCAAATGCTAGATAATAGGGCTGAATTTTTAATGCCAAGGTTAAGCAGAACATATTGAACATATTGAAGACTTGACCAAACAACTTTTGACTTTAGAGTTTCATAAGCTAACCACTATGATATAGTTCTATTGCTGAAGAAAATGTAGCCACTGTATAGGTAACTGATTTTATATTGCTGAACACATCCTGCTAATGGGGAGAACATCACACTAGATAAAATAGTTTTCCACTGTTAGGGACAGGAAGCCTGTTAGGTTTATTGAGCTTTCTTTCACTCCCCTCCCCTTTCCCTGTATGCTAATGATGTACCAGCCCCTAGGATATCCCTACAGTAGTCAACAAGTACCTATTTACTGTTGGCAAACAGATGTATTGGGTGTAAGGAAATATACCAAAACATCTTGTCCTGCCAAAGAATCAAACCCACACCCAATCGATTGTGAGCTGACTGTGCTGATTGCAAGTAAAGGTATGCATAGAAATATATATATATATATATGTTTCAATGGACTCATTAAAGCAACTTGCTTTGGGCCAGCCAAAACTCAAATTCTTATCCATTTGTTTATCTGCATTATTTTATGGTGGTTCCAATACTTGGATGGTTGTCTGGGAGTTCCTACTCCCGAAGCCCTGTTTGGGGCCAGGCTCGACTTCTGTATGAACAAGCTTAAAGCCATATTTGAGGGGGGATGGGGGTCTTGCCCTGAGAACAAAGTATAACAAATGCATATGGCACCAGCTTCAGTAGCTTGGACTCTGTCAGCCCACAAGATTGCTTAGTTGTAACAACAACTAGGCACTTTGTGCTTAGCAGTAGCACTTACACTAGTAAAATGTTAAATATTTGTATTAGCATTATAGTTGTCTCCATATTCTTAATTGTGGTAATTTAATTTTTGTCTAATTGTAATTATGACACTCCAGCAGTGTAAGATGCAGCAACACCATTAAGACCCCACTTGTGAGAACATGCTGAGCAGCTGATCTCACAGCCCTGCCAAGATAACCAAAATAACACAGATACCAGCAACAAGACAGCATACAGGCCATCCCTGACATATGTTTTTGTAGCATTTTGCACACATTTATGTCCAGCAATACGGACACACACACTGACGTGTTGGGGTGGAGTGCACTCTAGGTCTACCTAAAGTTGACCAATTTTGACCCATTGACGCATCTATAAAATAAATATTCATACAAGCCCTTGAAGTAACATATATCCATGCGGTATGTGAAATAACAATTTACATATAATGGGAATGAGAATATCACACAATATAAAATGTCAAGGGCCCCGACCCCGGGATGCTTGGTTGTCAGCTGTGTGCACCAGATGACAGGGGTCATCTTCATCAAGAGTTGAGGACATGAAGGAAGAGCTCCCGAGACCCGTCGCTGCACTATGGTCATTGTCCAACCTGCCCAGGGAAGGGGATGAGGTTGGCCACTAGTGCCACCTGCCAGAGAGGTCCCGAACCCTGGAGGACCTCTCTCTAAGCAGTGTGGAGTGTCCATCCTGGGCAGGTGAGAATCCCCGAACAGGAAACCAATGGCGAGCGAGATGAGATCTTGCTGGAGTGATTTTGGAGCTCCAGCCAAGATCCCAGAGGGTGAATGAGAGCCCATGAGGCTCCTGGCATTTGTAGTGAAGCCCCACCAGGTGGCACACCTCAATGGGTGAGCCCTAAGGGATAGGCACTGTAGACACGGGCAGGAAGGTGCTAAGAAAAGGTACTGGAGCTATGAAGGGGTCCTGGAAAGAGTGAGGAATTGACTTCTAAGGAGAGTGGGAGGGGGGAGGTGGTAATGCTTTCTGGGGGAGGATGATGGCACTGGTTAGATGGAATGAGGGGGTGAGAATTATAGTAATGGAAGGATTATGAGGCTGGAGAGGAATATGGTATTGGGAATGATAATAGCTCTGTGGAGGATTTAGGTTCAGGAGAAGATCATGTTGTGGCAATGGTAGTAGATGAGGAGGATATTGGTGGTGGTGGTGTATACTGGAGAGGGTAATAGAATTGATTATGGAAGGTTTAAAATGTTTGGGTGGATGATGGTAACTGTTAGAGAGGAAGTGCTGCTTAATGGGAACAATGGGGTGGATGAAGGGAATGGCAGTGCCCTGAAGAGGCAATGGTCATGTTGGAAGAGGTGCTGGATGGTGTAGTTTCGGTGCTGGCTGGGGAGGGGCGTGCCACTAGGAAGAGAGATGGGTGGTGCTAAGGAGGATGGTAGTGCTGGAAAGTAATTATTTCCAGCAAGAGGGAGGGGTGGAGGGGGCAGAGGGCCCGCGGTCACTGTTTGACCCCAGTGAAGGATGAACACTCAAAAAAACAACAAAGTGACACCAGCACAGTGTACTGTAGGACCTACGTCTCGACACTAGACATTTTCAGATAGTTTTTGGTCAATATACGAGTCGCTACTAATCGTACACACTATGAGAATCTGTTTTGTGTCGCAGAACGACAGAAAGAACGTGACATGCATTATACACGAATATCTAAATGATAGGATAGTTGAAGGGGGAACAGCGGGCACAAATGTCACTTGCACTAGCTGTGGGGCCCCTTGTTGCACTCAAGATATCTTGGGCTTTCACAACCAGTGCTCCAAAAGGCTGTTCCAACACAATTTTACCACCTATTTTTACCAGTTTTACTTTTGTCATGGATTTTTGTTGTTGACAAACATCGCTAACAAAGTAAGCTGGGAAAGATAAATTAACGACAAGGTGTTTTCTATCATGCATAGTCCACACACTCTAAATTCAATAACCCCATGTTTGTCTCTTGTCTGTAGGTGACAATCCGTTGAGGGACTTCATGATCTACATTATGCCCTTTCTGAGTATGTTGATGCTAATACAGTGCATTATATGGAATTACTGTACAGCATAACAATTGTCCCTGAAATGCTACGTTTAAGTCATGTACCAAGCTAGGGACACTGTTTAATATTCCACCAAAAGTCTCTTACTTCATGCAAGCTGTAAATTTGTTCTTTTGGCCCCATCTTGCCCTCAGTCTTGCTATGATTGACACCATCTCACCGTCACAGTCTCATCATGGTTTTAATGCCAAGATTGGCTCCAAGCACAAAATTCCATCTTGTAAAAAAAAAATTGCTTGAAATAATGGACTGGTTAGCTACGTGAAATGTGCCTGGTTTTAAGATATCAAAAATATCATGATCATACTTGCAACAGTCACTGATGGTAAGGTGACTCACTCACCTTACCACTGATGGTAAGGTAAGCTCATGCCAGTTTTTGTCTTTTGCTTAATGCTTCAGTACAATATTTTCTCTGAATAATTGCAAATGAAAAACTGTTAAATACATTATTATCTCTTGTTTGCTTTATATGTGGACAAGATGGAGAACTGTGTGCATGTTTGAGGTGGTTGTTGGATGCAAAACCCCGAGCATACATGCAACTGATGGAAACCCAGGCATCACAATTGCACTGAGGGAGGAGCAAGAGGCTAAATGTGCCGAGCTCACAACATGGACTAGAACACACTTGTTGCTGAATTTGTCTTAAAATCTCAGCCGTCTCTTTAAACACAGCAGTGGAAGTGTTTTCTCCTTGCATGGAATTACTCCAGAATTTATATACTCATTGAACCAACTCACAAATTTAAACCTCAAGATGTACAAAAAAAAATAGGCCTGCAGAGGGTTTCCCACTAAAAAAGTTAATTTGGTAGTTTTAATCACTGGGAATATATTAACGATATGAAAACCATCAAGAGTCGTTAAGTGTCAATACCGTTACAAAAAACAATACGTAAGCCAAAAGATGTACAATGATGTTATGAAAATGGCTCTCAACATTGTCACTAAGGAAAAAAAAAAATAAAAAATTACCCTCACCAGTCACTAAGGGTACAATGTTATGAGGAAGACCCTCAACGGTCACTAAAATCATAATACAATATTCTGTACTTTTGTCAAAATGTCTGAGAGTAAAGATGCTGTTATTAAAGATTTAAGATGCAGCCTTTGTGTTCTAGGGTTAAAGTTACTTGCTCTTTTTATCAGAAACTCCTGTATGTAATATGGGCAATAAGCGTCATAGTGAGAGCATACCCCTCTAACTTGGAGTTTTCCCTATTACAGAACACCCAAGAACTAGCAATCATAAAGGGGCTGTATATCTATCCCCAATCACACTGCATTTGTAATACACTTAAAGCAAACTTGTTCGCCTTTACCATCTGTGGAAATACAAAATACTGCCACATTATATACAAATACATAATTAGGAGTCTGTTGGAATGCTGGTGATTAGATCTGAAATGGGTTTACTGCTGTTGTCATGCACAATAATGGTTTACAATATTTTACAAATCATACAAACATGAATTTGAGGATTAATGCAAATATATTAGCATAGGTTCTTTTTCTTCTTCCATCAGTTGCATGTAACCGATCATCATTTTGCTTTCATCAGTGGTATGAGGTCTAGTAACATTGTTCCTGGTTCTACGGACTTGGTAGGTTTCCTACAAGATTTATATATATTCTCAAGTCTCAACAAATGTATTTTCAATGTAAAGCACATAAGAAAACAGTTACTACTGCAGAAATGTATTTAAAAATCCCAAGTACCAAAAGATGTGTACCGAAATGTGTGTAACTTCTAAATTTGAATGCTATATCATGATTACTGTAGTTTGAAATGTAGTTTTGATACGAGACGTTGTCTATATAGCAGCGGCCTTAGTTACCCAAACTAAATACAAATTTATATTTAGCTTGGCTAACATCAGTCTATATAAACACCATAAGAATAACTTAAACCACAATTAATGTTTTAAAGAAGTAACTAATGGCAAAATATGGTGTCAGGCAGCGGTGGCAGACCACACTTGTAACAGCACACCAACAGATCCCTATTCTTGGTGTACACGAGGTGTCACTGGACAACTCGCATGGTATTAAAAAAAAATTAACAATCTATTTTGATCCATAGAAAGATCTAGTTTATAAACCTAGTACTGAAGTCATCTGACCTATACATCCTTTACTAGGAATGTTGGCATCTGGTATGACCTATACGTCTCTTGCTGTGTCCTACAGACACACTAACATCCCCTTACCCCCCCTCCCCCCCTGCACTTAGGCAATAAGCGTAGTATTGTCACAGCATACTCGTATATTGTCGTTATACACACTCAGATTTATGATATATTGCGAATTCCATAAAATATATGGGAAGTTTACTCTAGTTAAATAAAGATGAGGACAATGTGTGGTCTTAGACTTGGAGTAATTATCACATACCGTACCTGCTTGTTACGGTGGTGTGCAGTGGTCATTGGGATCAACTCATTAACTAAAAGAAATGTTTGGGGTAGTTCATGGAAGTAGAAAAATGGGAGTGCTACTCTTGCTGCCTGTTTCTACATCTACTGTTGTCTGGGCCTACAGCTACTTCATTCTAAATTACAGCAAAAACATACTACACACTCGCTCCTCGCTGAGTAACACACACACACTGACACACACACTAATTATATTACACTGGAAAGAAGGGCAAAAGAGAGACTGGGGAAGGAAGACTTACATACAAGAATAAAAAAAAAAAATACACCATAGAACAATAACCCAGACAGTGAGAGAGAAGAGAGGCGATGAAGGTGGTGAGCAGAGAGGCTGCCACCTTTTATTGATTTTTTTTACATCATTACTGACTTCCCTATGTCAGTATAAAGCTCTATACATCACTATCACACACTCTGTCATAATTTATGGCACCACTAGATTGTAGCTCTCACTTTCAATATAAAGAGAAGTAACGTTTTTTAAACAGTCTTGGCAGGACAGATACTTTTTGATTTGGCCAATGGGACCATGTTGAGGGGGTGTCTGCCCATACAGTGCTTGTGTATAAAGCTAAATGTCTAAGTGTCATCTCTTTCTCAAATGTTAAAATGTCAGAGGATGTTTTAAGTACACACCTAAAGTTAAGGCTATACCTCCAGACAAGATAACAAAACAAGTTTCATGATCGAGCTGTTGAGAGAGGTCTGCGAAGCACTAATAGTTTCATAAATGTAAAGACTTTTGAGCGAGAAGATGAGAGCGGTTACAGCAACATATGATGGAGTTGGTCACATTTCTGTGACTCACATAAAACATAATTGCATCACAACATAGTCTCAGCTATGATACAACACAAGTGATATATACATACAATATACAGTGCTGTACTGTATTTTACTACAATGTGTCTGTTCTTTACAATCTTTTTATCTCAGTTTATATAATATTGTGCCCTCCTGAAAAATGCTTTGCCTGTCAGAAATTCTTCTTGAAATTACACAAAACTGATCCGACATGAAATATATAATCCGGATGATATTTTCAAAACATAAATTATCGTCATTATAATCTTAAATTACGTGTGTGGTTTTTATAAGGTCAGCCAAAATTCTATAACAAATAATGTATACATTTATCATACCATATTAGCAAATCAGCAATTTTCATAAACTTCCTGGAATTACAGATTGTTGTAATGAAGACAGCTGTAACTACACATACACTGGACTGCTTCAACATGTACACAATGACAAGTGCTCCTAATGCTCATCATTCTGGATTTATCCAAAACTTGTAAATAACTTGTGGAAGGATATAAGAAAATAATGCATTAAAAAGTATCTTCAGTAGAATTCTGAAAAAATTTAGAAACTTATGAAGTCTGCAGACATCTCTCGGTGTTTACTGTGGAGACCTCTCTGTGCTGGGGTGGCGTGCACACCATGCCCTACCTACACTCAGAAGACCTGGCTATGCTGGGGTGGAGTGCACACCATGCCCTACCTACCCTCTGGTAACTTCTCTATGCTGGGGTGGAGTGCACACCATGCCCTGCCTACACTCTGGTAACCTCTCTATGCTGGGGTGGAGTGCACACCATGCCCACCTCACACTCTGGAGACCTGGCTATGCTTGGGTGGAGTGCGCAAATACGCAAATAACCCTAGAGTCTGTGAATGCCATTAAATTGTACATACTGTATTGCATCTTATTATTCTTGTTGCTTTGAATTTAAAATAAATATAAAGCTACAGTAATACACACCACTGCTTTGATATGTGCAGTACAAGTTGAGGATTTGGGTAGCGGTGTATTGCTGTGTAGTAGCCTAGGACGTGCCTGCTGGACTCTGAGGGAAATCCACTTTACATATTTGCAAACAGTTGAATATCTCAAGAGAACATAAGTACTAAGTTTGAATATCATAAATAATCTCAACAGTTCATTTGTTGTACTGTTTCTCTGTGTCAGTACTGTTTGGTAAAAATCTGGCAAAACATGTATAATATTATAAAGTATTATCAAAATCAATATGATCAACTTTGACACTCAACATTTCTGAGGACTGGTTGGCCAGAAAGTTTTAAGTACATTTAGAGGTATGTCACATAACTCTAGTTTATAGTGTTGGTAACCGAGACGGGAGGGTAAGGCTTCCTAGCAATTTCTTATTTTTTTAGTCTAACATTCTTTAGACAAAAAATTAATAAACAAGATAATTTTAATTCTAGTGGCCTAAGGTGCTGCAGTTGCAGAGCTGCCCTCTGATTATAGATACGAGGATCTAAAACTGTGATTACCTGTACCGTTTTAAATTCTGTACTGTAAATAGGCTGGCTGTTGTATGTACATAAAAAATAGAAAACTTGAGAATCCTCTAAAGTATAATAAAGATTTGTTATTGTCTTGGTCACATGTTTTAAAAAGAGGTTGAAAAGTTCATATAGATTGCATTACCAAAATTATAATTAGCCTAGTTACTGAAGACAGTTTTTTTTGGAGACTGTTCATTACAAGGTGGAGGGGAAGATTGTATCTTCTGTATCTAATTGAGAATTTTTTTTATGGAAATCCAATCAAATTTTTATATAGAATTACAATTTTTAAATAGTAGCCTACAGTGACTTCCTAGGTGAAAGACTTTGTTTTGAACTAATCCAATGATAAAATATTGTCTTTTTGTGGGAAGCCCGTCAGCTCTCTGAAGCTATCCAAACTGATATGTGCTATATTAGTTTGGGGTCATCAGTCACAGGAGTCCTTTATTCCTACCGGGGACCATGAGCCAGAACCTGGCTGCCCTCAGAGAGGCACAGGGAGCAATGGACTATGGACACTTTACATTTAAAGTATGTCATAATTGCCATCAACCAGGGAAGGATTTGCCTACCCAGAAAGGTAGACAAATCAAAACAGACCACTGTCTGGTTAACCTGTGCAATCTAAGCCCAAAAAGATCAAAATAACTTCCCTAGAAAGAAACTCAACAAGCAACACTTCATGAAACTAGCACTTCTGCTCGTTAGCGTTACCCCTCTGCCTCTTAGAGGGGAAGGGGAAACTGGTAGCCCACCACTCCAGTTCTTTAACTGTGCTGGTGGTCAGTTCAGTCACCTCTGGCCTCAAGTTCCTGTTCTGGATTTTTGCCCTGTGTGCCAGTTCCAGCAGTGTGTGGTGTGCTGGCCACTACAGAAGCAGCATGCACCTAGGGTTACCTTTCCTAGGTCCTCCGTGAGTACTGCCCTTGTGTGTCAGGGTTATTTTCCCCTGGAACATTCGGGAATCACTTCCCGTTTGAGGACTTTGTTTGATGGTGTCTTCGCCCTTGGGTTATGTCGGGTATCAGGGCTTTCCGTCTAGCCCCGGGTAGGGGGAGTGTTATTGACTGGGTGGGGTACACTGCGGCTGGCAAAGCTAAACTTTAAAACTGGAAAGTTTCCGCCAAGAAGTAATTACCTAAGTGTAGTTACAGGATGAGAGCTACGCTCGTGGTGTCCCGTCTTCCAAGCACTGTCATATAACGCTTTGAAATTACTGACAGTTTTGGCCTCTACCACCTTCTCACCTAACTTATTCCAACTGTCTACCGCTCTGTTTGCGAAAGAAAAATTACACAGAAATCACAATAACGTGATATATCTATGAACAAATTCACAAGAGTCTTGATGAGGATTCGAACCTATGTGGTGGATGTTCCCAGACACACTCCAGTCAACTGTATCACAACACGGTTAAAAGAATGGTTCCCAACCACGTGGACATTCGGGGATTGAACACGGACCTGCATGAAGCAAGACAGTCGCTCCACAATCCAGCCCAAGTGGTTGGATTTTTTAATCATACAAAGGGATACGAACCAACGAGATGCTCGCCAACTCGGGTCTCTCTCTCTCCTCACCACATGGGACTTGTAAAATCAAAGTGCCAGACCAACCGGGCTATGGTGGATATGTGGCCTGCGGGCCGCTCCAAGCAACAGCCTGTTGGACCAAGCTCTCAAACGTCGAGCCTGGCACAGGGCTAGGCTGGTCTGGGGAAGTAGAACAACTAGAACCTCATCCAGGTACAGGTACAATAGCTCTTCTTATTTACACACTGGTAGCCTGAAGGATACTCATTGTCACAATAACAAACCTCCAAGAAAGATGAGTCAGAAGTTTATGCTGTCTAGAACTGGTAGTGATAAAGCCCAAGAAATAGTGATAGCAGAAATAGCTTCTAACTTATTCTGGTGGTTGTTTAAGTCTAAAGAAGTACAAGTTGCTTTGGAAATTTAGTTAGGTCAATGACTATGACCGCCTCATACTTTAGTATGAGGCCATCTCTGATTCCTACGAGTTTACTTATGTCCCACTTTAATTTACGGTTGCAGAGAGCTGGTACCCACATCTCTAGCAGGTCAAAATGCAGAGGAAGACTTTTTTCATGATACTGAAGTCACTTCAGAAAATCCCCCCTCCCTCTTTTTTTTTTAGGATGGTCTTTGACAGGACAAGTGAGCATGTGTGGGATTATACACGACCACCTCACCTTACTTGGGGAGGTGAGGAGTGTGTTATGCCTTGTGGAAGGCAGACATGACCACTGCTCTCTTTCTGGCTTCATACAGAAGTTTCCACTCTTTACTTTAGCTGTTGACCATAGAATATTATGTGAGCCAGTTATTATTTTTAGGATTTTTGCCTTTGCATTATAAAGCTCTTGGAAGGTAAAAATCCTTTGTAAATATTAAACAAATAATAACTTCTTTTCTGTGGGGCTTAATGCAAATTTTGACTGCTTCCATAAATGTGAACATCACACCATTAAACAGTTCCCAGTGCCAGGCTGGCCGGAGACCCTTGGTTCTTTTCTCTCATGTACTCTATGCAGTGCTTGTGAGCCATTATGTACTGCTGAGTGATCTGCACAGTGCTTGGTGATCCACTGTGCAGGGCTTGATGATCTTTTGTACAGTGCTTGATCAATTGTGCAGCAATTGGTGATCTGCTCATTATTTGATCTGTCCACTGCTTGGTATTTTTTTTTTTTTTTTTTTTAACTTTTTGAATTTGGTTACAAATACCTTATTTTGCTTTGTTTAATAGCATCTCCTCTTTGTTGCAGCTTTGTGTAATTACCTAAGTGTAGTTACAGGGTGAGAGCTACGCTCATGGTCTCCCATCTTCCCAGCACTGTCATATAGCGCTTTGAAACTACAGTACTGACGGTCTTGTAAATGCCCAAGTGTTGTTACAGGATAAGATTTATGCTCATAGTTTGAATCTACTGTACTTTGATGGCTTTGGCCTCCACTACTTTCTCACTTATCTTGTTCCAACTGTTTACCACTATTTGTAAAAGAAAACTTTCTAATATTTTTTGGCACCTTTGTTTCCTTAGCTTGAATCTATAACCGTGTGTGTGTGCGTCGTTTGCAGCAAATGCTGGTGTTTCGCACATGTAATATTTGGCAAGAATGGAGCTGAACTCTGCTTGGCCAAACTAGAATGTAGAATGGTCTCGAGAACATTGCAGGTTTTGCTGCCCAGTTAGTCTATATTCTTTAATGATGACTCGTCACTAAAATTTTAGTAAAGCATTTACTGCACCACATGGCCTTATTGAAGGAAGATAAGAAGTACAGTAGAAAGAGGTCCTTACTGTATCATAACATTTCCTTCATCATCTTCGTTTCCCAATCTGTAACTTCTCCAATACGAGTTAAGGAGGCATGGCAAAAGCAGAACTGTGCATTGCTGCTACCTTTTTGCACTTGTCCAGGCAATATCCACAGCAACTATGTCAGTTAAGTGACCCTTTTAGGTAATTGCTCATCATAATAGAATCTGAGGTGGGAGGAGTCAACGTTTTCTTTCGTTGGTGATAACCATAGCAGATACAGTTCCAGTTTGCAGAGACTTGTAATAACCTTCACTACACATTACAGCAATACTCTCACCATTCTGTAGTTTGACCACCCTCACTGACCACACCATACTGCACTCCCAGACTCTAAATGTGTGGTTTACCAGTCACAAGAGGAATGATAATAGTGAAAGCACAGCCTGGCTCATGGATAGTTTGCAGCACACAGTGCCATGAATGATACACTGATGTGGACAAAAGTTATTCGGAAAGTTCTGGGGCACATGTCCTCATTGGCAAATGAGAGCCAAAAAGAGTGAATTTTGCCCTATGAATTAAAAGTTAGTGTCAATGATTTAAAGTCCTGGCTGTGATAATGATGTGCCACATATTACAATACTCAAGGTCCAGACTGTTGCACTGACCATCAAGAACCAGGTCCAGATTGCCGAAGGGCCTGTTGGTGCTATAGGCCGTAATCAAAAGATTCCCACTCACTGAACTTGGAGTCTTGCTTTTGGAGTCTCTGTTGGCAGGCCTCCAGATAAGAGTCATTGATTCTGTACATGCCAGAGTTGGCCTGAAACATGAGTGTTTCAAGAATCCGCTCATTCTTGATGGCCTTGCTTGGCAGCACAATCTGAAATATATACAAGGATCAGTACTAGTGCCAATCCTATTTCTAATTTATGTGAGTGGTTTACCTGAGGGAACAGGAAACCAGACACAAGGGAGAGGAAACTCTTATTATACAGAACCTTTTACCAGAAGTCAACATCAAACTAATACCTGCTGCATAATACTGTACACGTTTGACGTATATATAATAATGGTCTTTAGGAGTGAACCAGTAGTGGTTCAGGACATTACACACATGTATCATCAATTTTGGAATGTGCAGCACCAGAGCCAAGTCCTTGTCTCATGAAACATAAAATGAAGCTAGAGGAATGCCACTAGACTAGTTCCAGAGCTGTGAAGTATGAGTTACAAGGAAAGACAAAGCATTAAACCTCACATGACTGGAAGATAGAAGAAACATGGGAGACATGGTAACCACAAACAGAACAGCCAAGGATAAATAATTTAGCATGGGTTGCACTTGAACAAGGAAATGCACATGGAAATAACCAAGTGAACTACACAGATATTATAAATAATTTGTTCATTGTCAGAATACTGGATAAATAAAATGCATTAAGAAGCAGTGAAAATAGACTCCATACACAGCATCACTGTAGATATAATAGAGCCAAATAGGCTCTGGAACCTATAACCAGTTAATGAGAGGTTGGACTTAAGAGCTGTAAATCATCCTCTGCATCTGCCACTAGACGATACGCACACAAACTGCTACGTTGTCCCCATCATGTATGCAGGGAATGTATGGATATGCCAGTACTGTCAGCCTGCTGCAGTTGGTGAGAACCAAATGTTACCAAGCACACAGCACATCTGGTTAATGTAATGTAGTAATGTACAGCTTGGCACTATACAACATTGACAGATCCAAAGGAACAGTAAAGGAGATAAATATATTTCTGCTGAAAAATTATTGCCTATTAGAAAGAAGAAATGATAACGGACAAGTTACAATATTTTTTCTCCCACTTCAATTGGTCCAATAATTTTTACACAGGGAAAAATGGAAGGACGAGGCCAAACTGATCTTAAATCCAAATACTAACCTTGATGAGATCCTGTGGAGATATCCTATAAGGTTTGAGCTCCCTGGTGAGTCGTTCCATGATGCAGCGGAACTCAACACGTGAGTCAGCTTTGGAGCCACCTTTGGTCTTGACACGATTCTTTGCCCAAGCCAACATTGCCTCAAACTTGGTGATCTCTGCCACCTCTAGGTTCCTTGCCATCATCATGTGTACCATCGACTCCGACAACTGAAGGAAGTCGGGGATCTGGAACACCTGCACCGAGGAACACCAGGAAAGCAGGCACATTAGAGGCTATAGAAAAGTTTATTACTTTTATTAAGTTAAGAGTATTAACTTTTGTAGAGAGTTCTGTAGAAGAAATGTGTAAATAAATGTTTGGACTACCAATGGAAACATAAGTTTTTGGGCACAGATTGGGAGGGGAGGGTGGGGGGGGGGGGAGAAGTGAGAGGTTGGAGGCAGTTTGTTCAACCAAAAAACTCCCACTGAACATAGAAAAGACCAACTACATTCAATTTTGAAAGAAATCATCAAACGAAATAAACATTCAAGGAATAAATATAAGCAATGGGAGTAAAAGTGAGAGATCCCTAGACTTGTACATTCTATGGCAGTAAGAGGGGTCTGCAGGCAGCTTTACAAAATACAAATCCTTATTATAAAGAAGTTGGGTTCATTCTCGACTCTAAATTGACCAGGTCAGGTCAGGCCAGGTCAGAAATGGTTGGTAATGTTTCTTTTTACCTAGTGCCTCTGTTCAACCTAGCAGTAAATAGATACCCAAGAGTTTGTCAACTGATGAGACATTGCATCCAGAGGAAGGTCAGTAATTCCACTTGGGGTGAGGGTGGTGTACCTCTGGCTTGGTCATCCTGCACTGGACGCATTCAGGTGAATTTGTGTCCATTCTATTCTATAAATAGGAGCCGCCTTGTATGGGCCAATAGGCCTTCTGCAGTTACCTTTGTTCTTATGTTCTCTGTACAAGCCTGACATACATACACCAGCCTATCCTCTAAAACAAAAGCACTTACAGTAACTATTGGGTCAAAAGTACCAATATGTACTGATGGACCACCAGAGAATTAACTGTTGTATTATTGAATTTGGACAAACTGGAAAGTTTTTAACTGCATCATAAATATAAGACCTAACATCTCCTAGCAATCCTAGGTATAATATACACTGTCTTAGGCCTATTATAATACACATGCTATACTAGTCCTTAGAATATTTAAGTTTGGTTTGAGCTTTATTTTTCATTCTATAAAATTAAAATAGCACAAAAACTGGGGCTACATCATTACATGTTGGTACTTTCTACCCAATAGTACCATCATTTCAGTATGTGTGTATCAACTAAGTTGATATACATACATAGTCTGCCTGTCCCACAACAAATTATTAGAAGGAAATTAGTGATATAAAACAATAGATGGGTAGGCGCACCTGGACGGCTCTGGTCTCGACGAAGGCGAGTATCATATTGACTAGCTCCGAGGCAGAGGTGTAGCGCCAGTAGTAATTCTCCAAGCTGCTGAGCATATTGCATACCTGCAGGGAAGTGCAGGAAATGAGGCTACCTCTTCCATGGCAACACCAAGAGTGATATTACTGGTAATCATTGTAATCAATGCTCATGCTGATGGTGGGAAAGAGTGAGACTAACAATATGGCTGATGAAACAAACAATAAATGTTAATAGTAAACACAATACATGGGTGATGGTAATGATTATGTTCATAGTGATTCTGACAACATACAGCTCTTTCAACCGAGATAACGGGCAGACTAAACTGGAGACCCGCTGCACCCATCCAGGTAATTCACATCTGTTCAGAGAAATATTGACCCATAAAGAATAGGAGGATGATACTGATGAATAAATTATATATGAAACAACTCGCACAACTATCAAGAGCCAACTTACTCATAGGAACATTATCTTCCTCTAGACCAGAAGAGAACTTAGTCTATATGCTTACTGCTCCAACTCAGCTTACTACATCAACCATTCCATCTTTCTCAACCTGTCCCATCAAACTTACTTTCAACAAACCTCATCATCATTTCCTGTTGACCATACCCACCCCCCAGAACCCCCCCCTCTTCACACCCAGCTCACCACTTCAATCCTGAGGAACTGCTTGGCATGGTGGAAGCAGGCCTGCAGCAGCTCCGGCAGGTCATAGTGTTCAGCAGCACAGATGAGGCCCGGAATGGAGGTGCAGGTCAGGGGACAGGACCCAGTGTGCAGGTAGTCCAGTAAGATCCTCAGAGTGTCCTGCTCGAACTCGATGATGGTAAACTGTTGGGACCAAGAGACATCAGCGAGGGCTTAAGGCAGGCACCAATGAAAATGGAAGACTGCCAAATGGAGAGGTGTGGACAAAGGGGTGACAGAGATGCAAGGGAGGTTCCAAGGGGAGTTAGTGTAGGTTAGATAAGGAAGGGGTCGGAATGTTGCTAAAGACTATCAAAAGCATCAGATTTTATCATGTAGTTAATTGGTCATCGAGTACAGTACTGGGTTCGAATCCCAGGTGGGACAGAAATAGTGGGATGTTTCCTATCATTTAATGACCTGTTCACCTAGCAGTTAATAGGTATTCAGGAGTTGGTCAGCTTGTTGTGTTTCATCCTGGGGATGGTCAGTAGTTCAACCTTGGGGGGGGGGGGAAGACTTCGATATATGCGTAACATACCGTATATACTGTACATATACTGTACAAAATGAATTAAAATAAAACAATCTTTGTGTAGGTCTAGAATTTCAGGACAGTTCTGGGAACATTAGCACAGGTCAGGGAACATTAGCACAGGTTAATGTAAGTCTGGAGAGTTGAGTGTATTTTAGAATGAGTTGGGACAAATCAGGGCCAGCACGAGGAGTACGAGGTCAGAGCAGGTCATGATGTAAGACGGAAAGTGTACATCAGTTAAGAATTAGAGAAAGATAACAGTATTTGGAAACTCTGGGATTTTATTATTTTTCCTTGACAATCATTGCTCTACAGTTAGTGTTATTACGAACAATTCTACAACATTAACTTTTTAATATGATCAAGTGGTTTCTACAGGAAGATAATTTAGGGTATATACGTAGTGTTCTCTACGAGTCTAGTTACGTTTGCAATTTGAATATCAAAGTTTATAATATTTAAAACAGATATTTTTACATCAATCTCTACATTTGTATTCAACATCATTTGTTTATTCTATATTTGTGGGATTATCATATGTGTGCATTGGGGTTGAGGCCTCTCGACCTCTGGAGGGTTAAGGCCACCACAATACCTTGACTGACCAACCAGCAAGACTACTTTAATCCCAACCATAGACCAAGACTATGTAAACTAATCATGTATATACATCTAGAAGCAATGTACACCTGCATGGATGTACATGGCATGCGTGATGCCTGGTAATGTATCGGACTTTACATAATTATTTGTACTGATGCACAGAGGTACAAGTAATTTTGACTTATGGAGACATTCATAATGTCCCACAAATATAGATTAGGATAATATAGTATCATTGTGACATTTGAAAAGGTTCACAATTAAAGAACACAATAGTGGCTTGCACGAACAGCTGAAGCAAGCCATCGTGACTACAACAGCTGAAGCAAGCCATCGTGACTACAACAGCTGAAGCAAGCCATCGTGACTACAACAGCTGAAGCAAGCCATCGTGACTACAACAGCTGAAGCAAGCCATCGTGACTACAACAGCTGAAGCAAGCCATCGTGACTACAACAGCTGAAGCAAGCCATCGTGACTACAACAGCTGAAGCAAGCCATCGTGACTACAACAGCTGATGCATGTAAACATGAATACAACAGCTGATGCAAGCCATCGTGACTACAACAGCTGATGCAAGCCATCGTGACTACAACAGCTGAAGCAAGCCATCATGACTACAACAGCTGAAGCAAGCCATCGTGACTACAACAGCTGAAGCAAGCCATCGTGACTACAACAGCTGAAGCAAGCCATCGTGACTACAACAGCTGAAGCAAGCCATCGTGACTACAACAGCTGAAGCAAGCCATCGTGACTACAACAGCTGAAGCAAGCCATCGTGACTACAACAGCTGAAGCAAGCCATCGTGACTACAACAGCTGAAGCAAGCCATCGTGACTACAACAGCTGAAGCAAGCCATCGTGACTACAACAGCTGAAGCAAGCCATCGTGACTACAACAGCTGAAGCAAGCCATCGTGACTACAACAGCTGAAGCAAGCCATCGTGACTACAACAGCTGAAGCAAGCCATCGTGACTACAACAGCTGAAGCAAGCCATCGTGACTACAACAGCTGAAGCAAGCCATCGTGACTACAACAGCTGAAGCAAGCCATCGTGACTACAACAGCTGAAGCAAGCCATCGTGACTACAACAGCTGAAGCAAGCCATCGTGACTACAACAGCTGAAGCAAGCCATCGTGACTACAACAGCTGAAGCAAGCCATCGTGACTACAACAGCTGAAGCAAGCCATCGTGACTACAACAGCTGAAGCAAGCCATCGTGACTACAACAGCTGATGCAAGCCATCGTGACTACAACAGCTGATGCAAGCCATCGTGACTACAACAGCTGAAGCAAGCCATCGTGACTACAACAGCTGAAGCAAGCCATCGTGACTACAACAGCTGAAGCAAGCCATCGTGACTACAACAGCTGATGCAAGCCATCGTGACTACAACAGCTGAAGCAAGCCATCGTGACTACAACAGCTGAAGCAAGCCATCGTGACTACAACAGCTGAAGCAAGCCATCGTGACTACAACAGCTGAAGCAAGCCATCGTGACTACAACAGCTGAAGCAAGCCATCGTGACTACAACAGCTGATGCATGTAAACATGAATACAACAGCTGATGCATGTAAACATGAATACAACAGCTGATGCATGTAAACATGAATACAACAGCTGATGCATGTAAACATGAATACAACAGCTGATGCAAGCCAACATGACTACAACAGCTGATGCAAGCCATCATGACTACAACAGCTGATGCAAGCCATCATGACTACAACAGCTGATGCAAGCCATCATGACTACAACAGCTGATGCAAGCTATCATGCCTACAACAGCTGGTGCAAGCCATCATGACTACAACAGCTGATGCAAGCCAACATGACTACAACAGCTGATGCAAGTCAACATGACTACAACAGCTGATGCAAGCCATCATGACTACAACAGCTGATGCAAGCCAACATGACTACAACAGCTGATGCAAGCCAACATGACTACAACAGCTGATGCATGTCAACTTGAAAACAACAGCAGATAAGTGTAAATATAAACAACAGCTGGTGCATGGCAACATGAAAACAACAGCTGGTGCATGGCAACATGAAGACAACAGCAGATGCATGGCAACATGAACACAACAGCTGATGCATGTCAACAACAAAACCAGGGGCTAAGGAACTATATGCATAATCATTTCGGGAACTTTAAGCCTTGAAGCAAAGCAGGTTTCATACTTGATATTAAGTTTCACTCATCGCTATTTTAGGAAGAATATTCTCTACCTGAAATATTTAAAAAAGACAACACAGGTGGAGAAAGCACATGACAAGGAGTGGTCTTTTCTTATTTAATAAGTAAAATGGGGCAACATTTGATTAAAAATAATTAGCTTTGCATTTGACAACGCTGCCGACACATTACATAAACTTGGTACTTTTGTGTAGAGTGAACTTTATGTTGAAGTCAACCAAGAAAATAAAAACTTATAATTTTACCACAAATTAAAAAAAATCAAAGAAGACAGCACTGTATAGACAAATAAATCCCCAGAACTTCTCTGGTACCACCACTGTATTCAACTCTGTTATAGCTTTGACAAATATATACAACATATTGTATAACAATCCTGGATAGGTTAAGAGGGATAGCATCCAGATGAAACACCTCTTATTAATAACGACTCCAGTTCCCAGAATAGTAGGATTACAGAAAGGACACATGACCATATTTCGATAGAAGACATTATCGCAGGTACATTGACAGTTGGGAATAGAGGTGACATGGTCAGGCGGTCATAAAGGATAAGAGGATTGGACCCAAGATAACAGCCCAGCTCCTGTGCCAGGTAAGTCCACTACGGGCTCACCATAGCCCATCCTACTTGGGACTTTTTGTTCCGAGTAGCTGAATCTAAAACAACAACACAAGAGCCTCATTAGACATTGCGATGTAAGTCTCGTCCTAACCACACACTCGGATCTTGACAAAGCACTCAGGAGAGTGCAAAAAACTTTGTGTAAATTTCTTTCATAAAGTTCACAAATACACAAGTGTGGTAATTACCTAAGTGTAGTTACAGGATGAGAGCTACGCTCGTGGTGTCCCGTCTTCCCAGCACTCTTTGTCATATAACGCTTTGAAACTACTGACAGTCTTGGCCTCCACCACCTTCTCACTTAACTTGTTCCAACCGTCTACCACTCTATTTGCGAAGGTGAATTTTCTTATATTTCTTCGGCATCTGTGTTTAGCTAGTTTAAATCTATGACCTCTTGTTCTTGAAATTCCAGGTCTCGGGAAGTCTTCCCTGTCGATTTTATCAATTCCTGTTACTATTTTGTATGTAGTGATCATATCACCTCTTTTTCTTCTGTCTTCTAGTTTTGGCATATTTAATGCTTCTAACCTCTCCTCGTAGCTCTTGCCCTTCAGTTCTGGGAGCCACTTAGTAGCATGTCTTTGCACCTTTTCCAGTTTGTTGATGTGCTTCTTAAGATATGGGCACCACACAACAGCTGCATATTCTAGCTTTGGCCTAACAAAAGTCATGAACAATTTCTTTAGTATATCGCCATCCATGTATTTAAATGCAATTCTGAAGTTAGAAAGCATAGCATAGGCTCCTTGCACAATATTCTTTATGTGGTCCTCAGGTGATAGTTTTCTATCTAGAACCACTCCTAGATCTCTTTCTTTATCAGAATTCTTTAAAGATTTCTCACATAATATATAGGTTGTGTGGGGTCTATGTTCTCCTATTCCACATTCCATAACATGACATTTATTAACATTAAATTCCATTTGCCAAGTGGTGCTCCATATACTTATTTTGTCCAGGTCTTCTTGAAGGGCATGACAGTCATCTAAATTTCTTATCCTTCCTATTATCTTAGCATCATCAGCAAACATATTCATATAATTCTGTATACCAACTGGTAGATCATTTATGTACACAATAAACATCACTGGTGCAAGAACTGAACCCTGTGGTACTCCACTTGTGACATTTCTCCATTCCGATACATTGCCTCTGA